CTTTTTGTCTCAGAGAATGGCCATGAACAATTGTCATTTTACCTTATCAGCTGGGCATTTTAGTTTGATTATTTGCTAGCAGCAAGTTTTTTATCAATCTTATCACTGCCTCTTTTTGCTTTATCTTTTTGTTGTTGTTGTTGTTCTTAAAAAGAAATCCAATTAGGACATGAATATATAAAACCAAAATAATTCCACGGTGGCATTTTAATCATGGGGATGCCTCTAGTAATCTAAATTCTCTATTGCTCAGGACGAGTTATTTATTTTTTGGCTGATCGCAAAAGGGTCAGAATGAAATTCCAACGCAGCGGCAGTCACCGACTTCTCTATATTTCAGTGCAATTTCCTTCCTTTGCATTGTTTGCGTGCCATAACCTTTCTTGGGACCAATTTCAAAGCCTTTTTATTTATTTTTTATTTTTTACAAGGGTTTGAGATATAATTCTGACTGTTTAAGGAAAGAGTTAGTCTTTGGAGGGTTCAAGTATGGTGCTGTGTGTGTGTTTTTGGTTTTTGGACAAGTCTGTCATCTGTTGCATGTGAGAGACATCTTAGACGGGCTAGAGTCGAGTGGCTGTGGGCGTCAGCATGCGCTCACAGCAATCCGACTCCTGCTCAAGCGATCCTCCTGCCTCAGGCTCCGAGTTAGCCTGGGACTAAGGCTGCGCCACCAACGCGGCTAATTTTTTTCCTATATATTTTTAGTTGTCAATTTTCTTTTTTCTTTTTTCTTTTTTTTTTCTTTTTCTTTCTTCTTTCTTCTTTCTTCCTCCTCCTCATCCTCCCTTTCATCTCTCTCGTCTCTTATTTTTCTTTTTCTTTCTTCTTTTCCCAGCTATTTTTCTATGTATTTTTTTTTTTACATTTTGTCCAATTCTCTTTCTTCTTTCTTTTTTTCTTTCTTCTTTTTCTTTCTTCTTTCTTTCCTCCCTCCTCCCTCACCTCTCTCCTCCCTCTTCTTTCTTTCTTCTTTCTTTCATCTTTTTTTCTTCTTTCTTTCTTTACTTTCTTTTCTTCTTGTCCCAGTCATTTTTCTATGATTTTTAGTTGTACATTTTCTTCTTTCTTTCTTTCTTCTTCTTTTTCTCTTTCTTTCTTCTTTCTCTTTTCTTTCAGCTCATTTTCTATGTATTTTGTTGTCCTTTCTTTCTTTCTTTCTTTCTTTCTTCTTCTTTTTCTTCTTTTCTTTCTTTCTTTCTTTTTCTTCTTTCTTTCTTTCTTTCTTTCTTTCTTCTCTTCCCAGCTCATTTTTCTATGTTTTTAGTTGTCAATTTCTTTCTTTCTTTCTTCATCCTCTTTCTTCTCTTTCTTCTTCTTTCCTTCTTCTTTCTTTCTTTCCCTCCTCCCTCCTCTCCCTCCCTCCCCCCTCCCTCTCCCTCCCTCCTTTCTTCTTTTCTTTCTTCTTTCTTCTTCTTCTTTCTTTACTTTCTTTCTTCTTTCTTTCATGACGACGGTCTCCTCTTGCTTCAGGCCATTTTCAAACCTGACCTGAGCGATCTCCACCTCGGGCTCCAGAGTGTAGCTTGACAGGGCGTGAGCCGCCGCCGGCGGATGGTTGTGCATTGATACAATGTAGTAGATTCCCTAGTAATAGTGGATGTTGAATTTCCAGCTGCAGTCAAAATGGACTTTGCTTTTTTTTTTTTTTTTTTGCAGTGATGATGTCAGGTCGGCTAACATTATTGCTGAAGAGAATGATGTCGCCTGCCTCGTCATAGACCGGGAGTGAGTATGCTGACAGAGCTGGGGAAGGCGGCCTACTGCCACCCCTGAAAAACACTTGGCTCTCTGTCTGCCCTTGGAGGATCTATGTTGTCATTCGTCACCGCTTTGCAATGCCGGCCATCCCTGGGCCGAGAGTGCACGCTATTAAAATTCAGGGGAAGGAACCAGCCGTTCTGATCCGAATCTGGCTGTGGCAGCCGCAGATGCTGCCGGGCTAAATATTTTGCGTGCAGAGTTTGTACATACACCAGCAACACCCTGATTTTGCATTCTGCACCCTTCGGAGAAATCAGCTCATGAGTGTGCTTATGGATTTTTGGGCTTTTTTTTTTTTTTTTTACCCCACGCGACATGGTAAACTACCACATGATTTATTTGCAAAATGCTCTCAGCAGTCAAAAACCGTCTAGAACAAAATTTCTATCGAAGTAGGAAACATTGATGAAGCTAGCAGGTGTGTCCAGAGAAGTTTTAACGTAACGTTTGTGGTCATTTCTAAGTGATGCGTGCCGTCGTTAATCTCTAAATGTCTTAGGCTATGTTTCAAGTTAAATCTCATTTTGTGTCTTTCGCTCACCTCTTAAATCACGTTTGAATCTCTCCTTTATGAGTTCAGTATTTTGCTGGTTATCGGCTTGATGCAAGAGAGGAAATCCAGTTGCATCGAAGTTAAGGCATTGTATAAGAAAAGTGGTAGTGTTGTCAAAGACATAGAGCATACTCGGCCGGGCGCGGTGGCTCACGCCTGTCATCCCAGCACTCTGGGAGGCCGAGCAGGGAGGATCGCTCGAGGTCAGGAGTTCGAGACCAGCCTGAGCAAGAGCGAGACCCGTTGAATGAGGAGTTTTCCTCTTACAGTGGATGGAGTTAAACTTGATCATGTTTTAAACTGCAAGATTTCCCACCTATAACAAAATGAGCTAAGTGTAGTGCATTGTCCTAACGATTGCAAAATTAAAGCAAAGTCTTGTCTTTTTTTCCTCTTTCATCAAGTGTTTATAGCTCCGCCCGGCAGGGCACCTGTGGCCTTCTAGGTCCTTAAGTGTGGCCTCTTGACTGAATCCAACTTTTGTAGGACCAATCCTTTTATTAAAAGGGGTGCAGCAAAGAAAAAGGAAGCTTTTCTCGCCTCCTTTGGTGCTTAACAAAGAACAATCTTGAAATCAGAAGGGCTGTGTAGGTCCCTTACCCTGGCGAGGAGTTGGTTGAATGACTATGTGTTGATATTCTCCTTTTTATTCTTTCTCTTCTTAATTGTTTGACCTTGTTTAGGTAAGAGTCACGCAGAGTACAGAGGGCCACGATCAACCGCAGGTGATAAAAACACTGCAGAAAGGAGAATATTTTGGAGAAAAAGCTCTAATAAGGTGAAGCCATGAATGTATATATATATATATTCATACTTAAATAAAATGCTTTGTTTGTTTTGCATGTAAAACCATTCATGCAGAGTTGTCAAACTCAGCTACCAGATTGACGGCAGTAAATATCCAGAAATTAAACAAACATTTTAAGCTGACTCCAAAAAGAAATTTCATTGTTATGCATGAGGAAATAAATATACTCATTTTGTATGGGAATAATCAGACGCTCTTAAGTTTGCTAGTGAACGTAAAATTGGTGTTCCGTCTGAATTTTTTAGTTTAAAAAAAAAAAAGAGTATGAGAACGAGATTTGATTGCAATTTTCTCTTATAAACAAGTTTGCTGGCCGGGCGCGGTGGCTCACGCCTGTCATCCTGGCACTCTGGGAGGCCGAGGCGGGAGGATCGCTCGAGGTCGGGAGTGTGAGACCAGCCTGAAGCGAAGCCGACGATCATCTCTACTAAAAATAGAAGAAATTAATTGGCCAACTATAAAAATATATACATTAGAAAAAAATGAGCCGGGCAGGTTTGGCGCATGCCTGTAGTCCAGCCACTCGGGAGGAGCTGAGGCAGAGGATGGCTTAGCCCAGGAGTTGGAGGTTGCTGTGCGCGAGGCTGATGCAATGACACTCACTCTAGCCCGGGCAACAGAGTGAGACTCTGTCTTAAAAACAACAACAACAAAGAACAAGTTTGCAATATTGCCGTGTTTAGAGTTTTTACCATTTTTTAAAAAAAACTTATCAAATATTGACTACCTATTTTGGGTGCTTTTGAATCCTCATGTCAAAAGTAGTGTTTTCTTAAGAATTTTTATCAGCTCATTTGCAAGTTTTAGAAACAACTCGACATTGTATATTTAAAGATTCTACCTCAACCTTCAGTCGTTTGAGGTATGAGTTTATTTACTGTTGATCTAATTTATGGAAGAAATATTTTTAAAGGCCAATCCAATGGCTCAAGGGACACTTTGCATTCCGTGGAACTCATAAAACTCCAGTCTGAAGAAATACATCTGCCTAAATATAAATAACTTTATAAAAGATCAAGTTAAAGTTTAGGGCACCACACTTTTTTGGAGTAATGTTAAGTTTTTTAAAGACTACTTGGAATTGTTGGAAAATCTTAAATTTATGTGTGATGACTAATGCTTTTATTCAGATTTATGCTTATAGAAAAAAATAGTGTTTCTGTCTTAAGTTATCATCTTAACTTTTATCTTTCAAGCCTAGTTCTGTTGATTTCTATGTCAGGTTACATGGTACAGAGTATTTAGAAATTACTTGAAGACAATTCATTATTTAAAAAATCACAAATCTTATTTTAAAGGAAATTCACTACTGAAAATTAACGATTATAGCTAGTAAGTAAACATTTAAAGCGGAGTTAAAAACTGATTTTTTTCTCCCATACAACAACTTGTTCCATATACAGAAATATCCTTTTTTTGTTTATTGATCACGGAATATGAATACGTTCATGCAGTGTAATAAGTACTGTCATCACCCAAGGCTTCAATGTATTTTTTCTTTCATTCATAAAATTATCTTTCTTATATTTCAAGTAAAACACACAGCTTGAAAGTTCAATAAACTTTATAAATAGAGCATAGAGTCAAAGTAATCTTGAGGAATATTTATCTGTTTACCGGACCTGAAATAATTATGCTGCGTGTTTGAGCCAGCCAATTACATGTTTTCCCATGAGAAACGTGGAATTGATATTTAATATACGAGCCCACCCGAAAGCATTTGAGTGCCAAAAAGCAAAAAATCAGTGGGAAGAAAGTTAGGACCACATTTTATATTTTTTGTGTGTGTGCATTTTTACACTATCACTTTTTAGGCGCTGACTGCGACTCAGTGTTTTTATTATTCTCTCTATTTCATGACTTGACTTAAACGGTCCCAGGAGGAGTCCTTCTAGAATTTTATGTGCAAATAAATCCCGGCACTTACTATGAAAAGAAACAGTTACTTTAAGTGTGTTTACATGTGAGGGTGTCCAGAAAGTATCAGAAAGTATCCAAGAAGTATCTCATTGTTACAAATAATGTGAAACAAGTTACATGGCTGGATATTTTCCCTGCCAGTCTGCTACATCTAACATTGTAAAGTATTTGCAGAAAATAGCCTCAGTCCAAATCATGACACTGATATTTACAAGGAATACCGTCCCCCTTTGCTTTCTATGAACTACAAATCAATGGTTGGCCACAATGCAGATCTATCTATGTCTTCTGCTTGTTTATGTCTGTATCTATGTCTAGATCTTTTTATTTTTTATTTTTTATTTTTTTTGAGACACAGTCTCACTTTGTTGCCCGGGCTAGAGTGCCGTGGCTCCACAACCTCCACTCCTGGGCTCAAGCGATCCTCCTGCCTCAGCTCCCAGTAGCTGGGACTACAGGCATGCACCGCCACGCCCAGGCTGATTTTTTCATATATATATATTTTTAGTCATCCAATTATTTCTTTCTATTTTTAGTAGAGACGGGGGTTCGCTCTTGCTCGGGCTGTTTCGAACTCCTGACTTGAGCGATCTCCTGCCTCGGCCTCCCAGAGTGCTAGGATGACAGGCGTGAGCCACCGCGCCCGGCTTATGTCTAGATTTTTTTGGCTCTATTTCTGTTGTCTCTGTCTGTTCTGTCTGTCTCTCTCTCTGTGCTACCTCTTACACTTGACACGCTGAGTATAAACTCTCCTGGCCCGGACTCAAAAGTCCAGGAAGCTGAAGTGTTTTCACAATATCTCCAGCAAGGGCCTGGAAGCTTGGGAGGGGCTGGGCTCATGTCAGAAATGTCTCTGGGTGTCGCAAAGAGCTAGAGGACTTTTTGGGGGACGGCAGAGACAGGTGCAAGGTTTTCCCTGTTCCGACAGTCGGGAAGCTGCAGGAATTTTGTGTAGGGCCATTTTCGATGAAGTTTGCAAGAGCATTCCGCAGTGTTTGCTATTCCAGGGGACAGTGAGCTCCTGGGTCACCTTAAACGTGTCTCACAGGCTGGGTGCCATGTGAGTGCACCTCTCTGAGTGTTTTTTGGTTATAACTAACAGGGGCAGGAAACTGATATAGTAAGAGCTCTCAAGAAATAATACTTTGACGCTTCATCCGTTGCTAAGTGTATTTACCAAATTAGGTCACATGCATACTTCATTATATCCAAGATGCCAAAGATCAGAGGGCCCCCCTACATTATGAACCCCTAAGAAGAAAGTAATGCTGCTATTTGCACTCTGACTCATCAATCAATTCATTGTAAGAGATTGCTCTGATCTCAGATATTTTTAACCCTTTGCACTCGTGCCGGTGCCC